CCTAACTATAACAAGAAACACAAACCTCATACCATTACTTAACTATTACAAGAAACACAAACGTCATACCACTTCTTAACCATAACTGAAAACACAAACCTAATACCAATATTTAATTATAACAGGAAACGCAAACCTCATACAACTACTTAACTATAACAGGAATCACAAACCTCATACCACTAATTAACTATAACAAGAAACACAAACATCATACCACTAATTAACTATAACAAGAAACACAAACCTCATACCACTACTTAACTATAAGAGGAAACACAAACCTAATACAACTACTTAACTATAACAGAAAACACAAACCTCATATCACTACCTAACTATAACAAGAAACACAAACCTAATACCACTACTTAACTATAACAGGAATCAAAAACCTCATACCACTACTTAACTATAAGAGGAAACACAAACCTAATACAACTACTTAACTATAACAGAAAACACAAACCTCATATCACTACCTAACTATAACAAGAAACACAAACCTCATACCATTACTTAACTATAACAGGAAACAAACACCTCATACCACTACTTAACTATAACAAGAAACACAAATGTCATACCACTACTTAACTATAACAGGAATCAAAAACCTCATACCACTACTTAACTATAAGAGGAAACACAAACCTAATACAGATGCTTAACTATAATAGAAAACACAAACCTCATATCACTACCTAACTATAACAAGAAACACAAACCTCATACCACCATTAACTATAACAGGAAACATACACCTCATATCACTACTTAACTATAACAGGAAACGCAAACCTCATAGCTCTATTGATACTGCTGTATTTCACGAAACACACACCTCATACCACTGTTTAACGGTTACATGAAACATGCCATTCATTAATACTGTTGTATAACACGAAAAACACACCTCATATCACTATTTAACGGTTACATAAAACATACCATACATTAATACTTCTGTATTACACGAAACACACACCTCATGCCACTATGTAAAGGTTACACAAAACATACCATACATTAATACTGTTGTATAACACGAAACACACACCTCATACCACTATTTAACGGTTACATAAAACATGCCATACATTAATACTGCTGTATTACACGAAACACACCCCTAATACCACTATTTAACGTTTACATCAAACATACCATACATTAATACTGCTGTATTACACGAAACACACACCTCATACCACTATTTAACCTTTAAATCAAACATGCCATACATTAATACTGCTGTATTACGCGAAACACACACCTCATACCACTATTTAACGTTTACATCAAACATGCCATACATTAATACTGTTGTATTACACGAAACACACACCTCATACCACTATTTAACCTTTACATCAAACATGCCATACATTAATACTGCTGTATTACACGAAACACACACCTCATACCACTATTTAACGTTTACATCAAACATGCCGTTCATTAATGCTGTTGTATTACACGAAACACACACCTCATACCAGATGAGATTTCCATTGATCACTCGTATGTTTGGAATTGACTAAAAAAATATAAATAATCATGCCGACATCGCACGTCCAATAAGACAAAGACGTTCAAAGTTGATATTAATACAATGCATTGTAAGTTTCCCCGATCAATCATGTATGTAACCAGTGGGGCGGGAGAAATTAGCATCAATATATTTAGAATTCACTTGAATGAAAATCATTTCCATTGGCCGCTTAACTATCGTGTGCCGAAGGTGGAAAATCTCGCAGTATGCTAAATTGATTTTTGTTATGAATGCTTCGTCAATGGAATGCTACTTCCTGAACAGGAAGCTTTGAACGACACAATACACTTAACTTTGAACGTAGCATGACGAAATATCCATCAGATGTTGTTGATAAACTATTCAGGCACCGAGGGGTCAATGAAGAGAGAGTCGGTATGCTATAATTAACGAATCACTGTATTTTGAGTAGAGTGATAGACGTGGATTGTTCCATGCAGATTATGGGATAAAGGGGGAATAATGTACGAAATATATTCAAGTAAAATTGTATTTGACCTAACCTATGTGTATAACATTATGGTGGTCTGATAATGTTGCAATATGTAAGCATTAATTTCAGTATCCTACACGTTCCTGTTTGATATTTGCCTAGATCAGCAAATACATGTATACATGTACCTGTTGTGTCATCGATAAGGCTGGCATATTGCCGCCATATGGTTATCATGTCCTAAATATGATTGATATTTCCTAAGTATTGCTATTATGTCCAAAGTATTAGTGTCATGTCCTGGCCATGATTAACATGACCTAGGTACTACTGTTATACTTGGCCGTTCTGAAGTTGCCAGGTTGCCGTCATATCCGAAGTCTCGTTTTCATTATTAGGTATGGTTTTCATATAATTCAGACAAGCTGTCATGTCCGACGTCTGGCTATAAAAATGTCACTTTTTCTCAAAAATTAAAGTAAATAAAGATATGAATTATGAAAAATATAAATATTTATTATTTGTTGTCTTCGGAATCAAAGCCTGTAGAGTTGTAAATAATGCTTTTAGGATAGCTATTAAAAAGGAGTAGGAATGATGGCTAACAAGTCTTTGAACATCGTGCTTCTGCTATTTAATTTGATATAGCATTCAAATACACATCAGTCATGACGATTAAAACCGTCTCGATCGGACGCCGTTTGCGCGTTCAACTTCCGTTGAATGAAATTTCGTAATAACTGCCCGCCATAGAGGTAAACGCCAGTTGTAATCGTTTAAGTTCAAAGCAAAACATGACAATGATATTAGGAACGTAAACAGGAAGAATTATGTAGTCATACGTATGATGTGGTCTGGTGGTTGACTGAAAAGGGAAGTAAAACCGTCACAGTATATACCAATCGAGCTCAAATCTGATAGTGACGGGATGAGCACGTCATTGATAGCATCGGTAATGGAACGTTAACAGGTAGAGGTATTGACATAGTTTAGCACTAACACATTAGCTGATGAAACAAAAAACACACATCTCTCGCAGATTCTAGTTTTTAAAAATCGTTAATTGGAATTAAACGGTATGTTGTATTATCTAACGACTTTTTGTAGGATAATGTACACATGAACGTTATTTTTAAGAACTTAAGGCTATGTATATGGGTATTCTTATTTTTGTTAAAGTAAGCCTGGCTTTTCCATACGAAATACATTTACTGGTCTTTTTAAACTTCAGGGTCCTCCTGCTTTCTTATCGTAGACACATTGAAAGTGATTATATAATAAGTGCTATAACTTTCGTGACCTTAAATCCGAAATCGGAAAAAGTTACATTTTTTTTTATAAATAGAAATAAAATAAGAGATTGCAAACAAACATTTTAATCCTCCGTATTACATGGCAATATAATAGAATACATAAAGTTTATTAAAAAGAAGTTAATAAAACTGAAAAAGCAAAAAGATTGCAAACACACCTTTAAAACTCAGCAATACAGTGATATCAATACATCGTTAATACACCAGCTAACTGGCGTTTATCTCTAAGGCGGGCAGTTATTACGAAATTTCAATCAACGGAAGTTGAACGCGCAAACGGCGTCCGATCGAGATGGTTTAAATCGTCATGACTGATGTGTTTTTGAATGCTATATCAAGTTGAAAAGCAGAAACACGTTGTTCAAAGACTTGTTAGCCATCATTCCTACTCCTATTTAATACCTATCCTAAAACAGATAATAACAGAAACTAAGGACACATGCATAATGATACTTTGTTAAAATGTATGATAATTAACAGAAAACCGTTAAATTTCTTATTTGTTACAATTTCTAAATAAACTCGGCAAAAATGTTGCTACATCAGGAAAGTGCGGGTCGTGTAACGTAATATTTGAACGTAATGCTTTAATGACGTCACGCTTGGCAACAAAGCAGTGCGCCATTTTGAAAGGCTTGCTTATATTATTATGACGTTTGCTGCCATTATCTGGAACGAATTCTTAACAAAATTGATATCGACTGTGTAGTTATTTAGATACCATAATGTATGTTGCAAAAGTGCACCAACGCAACCAGTTATTCTTCCGTCGCTTCATCTAAAATTAAAGCTAAACATCTCCGCAGTTGTTAGAAAATACCGGTCTGATTGGATATTAACAAAAGTGGTTCCTCCACCTATTTCGTATATCTTGTGAAGATTTAAAATTTTACAAAATACACATTTCCTGATATTTCACTGGTAAAATATAATTAATACGGATATCAAAGGAATTTGCGATTATTTTTTGTAGAAAGAATGCAACCTCAATTTCCAATGCTGTGAACCCCAGTGGAAATCAAACTCAGGGTTTTCTGGGTTATCCTGGTTCTAAGGACAACTGTAACCATTTATTTCTTATCAGGATTACCAGAGGCAAATATTTTTTATCAATAAGCGATACTATTATAAAGCAAAATTTGATACTTTATCAAATATGTTATAGGACTTTATTGTTTTACCCCTGCAATCTTACTGTACTGATTTCTCTTTTATGCACACATGTCTTATTATAACGATTATTATATATTGTGATAGATATGTTATTATAACTCGTTGTACCTTTTTACCAAATAAAATTGAATTGAAGCAATACCCTTAATGGAGACGCTCACTTGATGTTTCTAGTGTGATATATTTTTCTGATTGAAGATAATTAATACATACATATATATACACGAGACCATTCTGCAGTATAACATACATGTAAACGATCGTTCAAACACAAAGACCAACTTTTAAATGAGAGATTGAAATTCACTCCATGTAAGCTCCCCCACCAGGTCACTAATACGTCGACAGAATAATCCGGTCTAAGGGATTATCGCTAAAGTATTTACTCTTTTAATCCTTTGGTTGTGAAATAAACTTACAATATGTAAAAACACGTATTAAAATACGGGATTTTGGAACAATGGATGTTTTGAATTTACATTCAACTATTCGTTTTAAAATGAATTGTCACTCTACAGAACAATGTTAGAGACCTTAATTCCATTGTGGTATATGTGACTTGAGCTAAGAATTACTCCACCAAACGTCGACGTCAGAACACAACATTATGTTTGTGAATAAATAGATAAGATTTGTCGTGAAGATGAAAAAATGAGCCTCGATTATTAGTGACACGTTATTATCGGGTGCGAAAATATTTCACGACAATGAAAGACGCAGTGGACGAGAAAAAGAAACGGACACCAAAACGGAAAGAAAAACGTAAGTAGACAATAGTCTAAACTGGTTGCTATTTGTAAAAGAAGCATCAAATAAGTACATTGACCAAACGTTGTATTTTATCCAATAAACACTTTAAAATCTTACCTCTAGCTATACCAACCTCTTAATCATACTTTCATTAAGTAAAATGGTATATTTGACTTGATTTACAAAGCAATGTTGTAAATCGTGAAAAACAAAATGGCTGACCTTAACAACAACAGAGTGGTTTAGCCATTTCTGAATTGGTTATCGTATAATCTTGATTGTGATTTCAAACGTTGTTTTTCTTTTTGTGATACCAATGAATTTAAAATAACATTGATGAAAATATCGTAAAATGCCTGATACAGCAAAATGTTTGATCGTTGGTTATCATACGGAAGTAAGGACGAAACTGTTGTGATTGTTACGACACTATGTTGTTTCAAGTATGAACCATTTCAGGATTTCTGTATGATAATGATGAAAATTGTCTGTTTAATTATGATTATGAAAACAATTCATGATAATAGCATTAGCATTATCGCGACTTTAGAAAAGGTTTTGCGTGATAATGATAAGGCTGTAATATCTGATAACGTTGTAACAAGTGATTGAAAACTGATCACAGGTGCGATATATTAACTATAAAATAAAACATAGTATGACATAATTGTTAGTGTGAATGTACAAATTTAGTGTAGATTCTTGTAAATAACGATTCTTTCAATGATAACGGCGATCAATTGTCGTAATCCTATGATATCGATGAGATTGTAACATTATAATTACGAAACAACTAGGGACCCTGCGGTCCTGTGGGATCACTGATTTTAAGGTCAATGTGGGCCAATATATAGTCCCATTCCCCTTGATAATTTCTGCAGATTTGTCCAAAACCAAAGCAAAATCAGTTTCTTTTCCGTAAACCATACTTTTTGTGGTTGATATTTCCCCAAATCAACAGGCACAGGCCCTTATGTAAACAAAATCACCCGTGATTATCAACAAACAGTTAAATAAATGCAGGATTATCGTTACATACCAAAGAAACATAATTTGGGATTATCGATAACATTATGGAACTAATTACATGTTATTATATGTTACCCTTTGTAATCCGTAATTCTTACAAAGGAGAAAGTACTTAACCAACATTGTTACATCGCTACAATAAAGCAAGGATTTATCCAGGTAGTTTAAAAACAAACTTACGTTGTAAGATAATGTTCATTTTATGAGTTTATCAACCAGGCAAGGGTTCAATGACATGCTAAAAATCCTTAAATTACAATTACATACCTCTCCAACTAGTTCAAAAATCACCCTCGGGACCACTGTCAACCCAACTGTACCTTGGTATTCACCAATTACCCTCGGCATCACTGTTAACCCACTGTACCTTGGTGTTCACCTATCACCCTCTGGAGCATTGTTTACCCCACTGTACCTTGGTATTCACCAATCACCCTCGGGACCACTGTTAACCCACTGTACCTTGGGGTTCACCAATCACCCTACGGACAACTGGTAACCCCACTATACCTTGCTATTCACCCAATCCCCCTCGAGACCACTGTTAACGCCACTGTACCTTGGTGTTCACCAATCACCCTACGGACAACTGTTAACCCCACTATACCTTGCTATTCACCCAATCACCCTCGAGACCACTGTTAACGCCACTGTACCTTGGTGTTCACCAATCACCCTCGGGACAACTGTTAACCCCACTATACCTTGGTATTCACCAATCACCCTCGGGACCACTGTTAACGCCACCGTACCTTGGTGTTCACCAATCATTCCCGGGACCACTGTTAACCCCACTGTATCTTGGTATTCACCAACCACCCTCGGGACCACTGTTAACCCCACTGTACCTTGGTGTTCACCAATCACCCTCGGGACAACTGTTAACCCCACTATACCTTGGTATTCACCAATCACCCTCGGGACCACTGTTAACCCCACTGTACCTTGGTGCAGGTACAAAGTACGGAACTTTAGTCAAATCATCTACGTACTTAAACTTGGAAATCAATTGACAGTGTGTCCTCGTTTTGGTAAATAGCCAAATAATTCATTATCTAAACATTGATTTTATCATATTTAGATAGTGCCAAATCTGTCTGTATTGATGGTTGATCCGTTATATTTTGGTACGAACTAATTGTATGTTTAGCTGCCATTGTTGATGCACGTGTGTGTATAATGGAGTTTACCTGTATCAGAAAGGTAAAATTGATACAAGTTGTGTTTTCTTATGGCTAGTCTCCTGATCTCATTTGAAGCAAACCAGTTTATACTTAACCACATACTGTAGTATAACAACACAGCCGTAGTGATGGACAGATTTCCTTTATATTACCAAATGTGATGAAGAATTTGGAAGAGTTTTTACATGGGGTTTTACGCTGAACGCTTCCATCCAGGACATTAATAATGCTTGATTTAACATGAAACAAAATCTGATTCATAGTATTTTAAAATAAATATATGAACCATTCTTAGTTCACTAAAAACTACATAAAAAGAGGCATATAGTAACAAATGGTTTAGCCACAAATATTGGAAAACATCTTTATCAATTATAGAATATCTGGTATTACAGGCTAGACTGTAGTGAGGGTATAGCAGAAAAGGCAGGAATTCCTGGCTGTAGTGAAGGGTATTACAGCAATGTTTCCTGAGGTTTATAACCATATTATTGTCTGGCTGGTAAAGTAGCATTTAAAGTTGGAAGAAGAGCATAAAAACACTGAACGTTGTTCAATAGTTAAAACACATCATATTTTCATTTTTGGAACAGGAAGACGACCTAGTGCTGCCATAAGTATTGCAGCATCGGATCAGAACTATGACTCCCCATACCAAGATTCATCGTACAAAGTCCCGAACACGGAGCGCACCAAGCGTAGCAATAGCAAGCTCAACCTACAGTCGCCGTCTATCATTAAAGAAAATGGTGTTTTTGTGGACACTCTCTTCCCTTCAGAGCATCTAGTGGCCATGAGTATTGTTGAGAATGAACACAATGAAGCGGACCAGCTAGATTCTATAGCCGAGGATCCTCCGTTAGATTTAGCCACACCGAACGAAATACCCCGTTCCTACGACCCGTCAGACAGAAACCAGATACTCGTCAAGGATCCAGATACTAAGGAACTCGTCACCACAAGTAAGAAGATATTAATTGGTTTAAGCAATTGGCGTGGCCACCGCAAATCTTACTATTTAAAACCTAATGATTGCTACTATTGTGATCAATACATTGAACGTAAATATGTGTTCACTCTTGCCATTAATGTATTAGAGCGTATTCTTGTGTAAATCTGATGTCGTTGTTTCTTAATGTATATTCAGAGGATATTGAGTTTGAGAGAATTGATTATGATTCATCATACTTTTTTTTTGTGAGTTTATCGCACAATATAAGAGTAATCTATCCCTGTTAATCCAATACATCAACCTTTGAATTTGTGATTACTTGGTAAGTTTATGAAAGTGCATATGGTAGGATAATACAACGGAGATGATGAAGTGGGGTTTAGTCATGAAGTCATATCGCTTTTGAGCTTTTCCTTTTTCATTAATACACGGATATTTGTATCGATCCTAAAGCTATGCGACCCTAATTGAACATTAGTTTACTCTTTATTTGCATTTTACTCTCCAATCATAGTAAACATCAGCCTATTTCGTTTAAAACTTGACATGCATGTTGTGCTGACTTGTTTGATTGGTTTTTACAGAAACAAATACCATTTGGATTTCATATATTCACCGAAATAAAACCCTGTAACATTAGAGTATCAGGTAACACATTTATTTCGAAGTATAATGGAGGTGAACTTGGATAACAATTAGCCATTCTATGCAATCCCACAATTGCATAGTGCCATGCTATTATAGATGAACAATTTTTATATAGCTGAGGTATTGCTTTAAAGTTAAACAACCGTTACTCTTTATGTATTTCATACACGATTTATTCAATATGTTTTATGCAAACATATTATTTGGATTGTTTATTTCCTGTAATATTTTTAAAATTCAATATTTTTCTAATCAAAAAAGGTGGGGAGTATCTTTTTCTCGTCAGTGTAAATATCTCGGTCCATTTCCATCATGTACATTTTTTTTCGTAGAGTGCATTGCGGGACGAGAGGACTCTGTATTTGTCGGTCCCGCGGGAGCTGAGCCCAAACCAACAGATCCCTATGTCCTCTCCCGATGCCTAATCCAGAAGCGGTTCGGGGCTGGCGTTCTGCTCCTCCGACCCATGGAAATGAAACCCACACAACTCGTCACAAGGGGAGACTTGGTAAATGCTGTTTGAGATCTGATACTAGAGACGCTCACAGACACATTGCTTGTTTAATATTTGGTGTCCAACGTTCAGTGATAAAAGTAATAATATATACATGTTTATTTACGCTGACAAGCAATAACCTTTTTTCAATTTCTGCGATATACCATGTTTTACCTAGAGCTACCAAACCAAATAACACTAAAAATCACTTAACGAAGTAACAATTTGTTGTAATAATATATATCTTTTAACCAAGTGACTAGGTGACGATACTTGACCCTTATTCTTCCAACTTTTTACAGATCTTCCAGCTTTGGTATGGCCGGGTGTCGTTGACCATTCACGAAACAACCTCCGTCATAGTATCCGGAGATTTCTTTTTCGTCCCCAGAGGTGAAGTTGTTCGTACCGTTGGCTCATGTATTAATTATCATTCATTCACCGATTCACCTACAAGGTTGGGACAATATCATCTCCAAAAGAGATCAGCAACATTAAACGTTTTCAACAAAAAGTGAAATGCACATTTTTTAATAATGTATAGTGGTATGTTACCCAGTTGCTTACAGACGTATGCGTAACATCTTGGATAACATTTTAGAAAGCACCTGTCATACTATTAGAAATACCAAGAATTTGCATTATATATCTTCGTTTATATCAACAGAGAGAAATTTATCTGATCTCTCAATGAGGTCTCTATGAGGTATGAGGAAAACTGTTCTTACAATGTTGCTGGAAAAGGGTCATACATGTGTTCTATGGTACAATTTCAGTCAGCAAAAAAGTCTATTAGAAACCATTCGGGAATTTCCGTAAAGTTTCTTCGGTAACTCTACGATAAGATTGGTCCCCTGATTTCTAACAGTATGACGGAAGGATTCGAACACATTCGTTTGCGTTCACAACAAAATATTTTGACGGCAGGTTTATATTTATAGATGTGTGATATAAATGTTTTACTGAATTATTGTTCTGTCTTTGATAAGAAGAAGGTGATGTGCAAACAATGTATTAAGAAAGACGTATTGTTGGTATACATGTAAGATGATTATAACAGAGATATTGTTATGACTCAAGAAAATTATAAAATATATATAAATAACTAAATTATCGATAATGCAATGTTGGGTAACTTTGGTAGAATTTATCCTCAAGGGAGATAATTATTACGCAAATAACAGTCATAATCTATTAGATAGCATATAACCCTTAAAGGTGAAATTATGTTCATAGCAATATGCAGGCGTTCACAAATTAGTATTGTATATTAGTATGTACTTTCCTTTCTGAAAACACTTAAACCTCTTTTTTATTTGCAAATGATTAACAACATATCATTACTTTTTGGATATTACAGGTAATACATACAGCGTCAAGAATCTTAGAAACGAAGAAGCTAAGTTTAGCTACACAGTGGTCAAAGAGGTGCCTCCCGAAAAGGAGGCGGCGGACAAGGAGATCATGGAACGAAAAGACAGGGAAAGCAAACTAGGTCAACTGAGTGCTAGAGAAGGCACCTTCGTCACCGAAATAGCCAAGCCTCAGGACGAATCTCTACAACGGCCGAACATTGAAGATACGCCTAAGGATAACGTTATTGAAAATACACCACGCCCAAAGAGTATCGTTCCAGATAAAGACAACGAACATGAGCATACAACCAATAAGGGTGACGATGACGACTCGGCAGAGAAAACAAAAGAAGAGCCAATTCTAACTCCTCAACTTTCAATTGAACCAACAGAATGGAAACCTGTGGTGGTGTAGTACGAACTTAGGTTGATGGATTGTCGAAGGAACATTGAGCTAAACATGTTGTTGGCTTTTCATGACTTTTACTGTGTTAGTACATTGCTTGATTTCGACGCCGCAAGTAGTCTATATTTATTGAAATATTTGTTAATAAAAAACACAAGGGACTAACGTCGTATCGTAAAGGGGTTGGACATTCAAATACATGCTATAATTTAACAACAACATAAATCTATTATGTATGATATTATTCCTCCAAACGGCGCAAATGATTTCGACTTGGCTTATATTAACAAACATCAACATGTTCAGGCCTAGAACTGATAAAATTGTGGTTTCTGATTTACACACTGTAATTTGTTACAGTCAACGTTAATATCAATTTGTGTGTTCTCCTCTTGTTTTGTTTCATGACAGGTAGCTGAAAGTATTACATAGCAAACGAAAAACTAGCTCAATTCATAGCATTGCTGAGTGTGTAACTAAATTTGTTACGTTGCATACAGGCTAGTTTCATTTGCTTCATGTTAGACAAACAAACTAAATTCATAATATTACAGAAAGGGCAATTTATTTTGTTTCATAAAAGGTAAAATAGAAGAATATTTCCTACCTTATACGTGTTTACGTATTACATGATAACTACATGAACCAACTTCACCATAATCTATTTCTTATAATTTGTTTGTAAATAAATGCATTTGAAATCACTTATCAGTTGATTTTGAAAACAATGGCGGGTGAAATATACTTATTTATCGACATATTTTACATACCCTACAATGTGAGTAAACATTTTCTGCAAAAGTGATTAAATACATCCTCATAATGGATTTAATCTCTACAACAGTGCAGATTATACCCTCTACGATCCTGAATATTATATCCTCAAAATAATTAATATTATATTCTTTTTAAAAGTGTGCAAAATATTCTCTACAAAAATAAATATTATGTCCTCCACAATAATGAATATTGTTATAATATTCTTTATAGTAGTGAACACAATATTCTCAACAATATATACTTTCTACACAAATAATGTAGGTATTAAACGTTTCGCAACGTTTTAAGACCGACTGGTCCTTTGTCAAGCTAGGACGGATAGCTTATTGAAAATATTAAACATTTCATCTTCAACAACAAAAAAAGATTATCATAATTATATATTCTGTTATGCTGAACATACATTGTAATAGCTCCAACATTTTTTACATTATATCCTGCACATCAATGAATGCTATAACTACATTCTTCATTATAGTGAACATAATATTCTGAACAGTTTTGATATTATATCATTAACAATAATGAATGTCATACTTATTTTCTCTATAATATTTAAACATTATGTTCTCCGCAATAATAGAAATAATTCTCTATAATAGTAAACAATATATCTCAATCGATATGATATCTTACGAAATAAGAATGTATCTCGTGCACAGAGGTGACTGCACCTTTAAAGATTAAACACCCTCTTTAACAGTGAATACCATATTCTCTACGACTTACATTTTGTGTACAAGGTAACTCAGAACTTGGAAATAGTGAATCATTTCCAATTTTGTCGTATTGTAGAAATAATTCAAATTATTATCAAGTTTTAAATCTTATGTGAAGTTTAAAAGATAGCTCCTGTATAATTGATTTGAAATCCATTTGTTACATGTAAAATAAAGATCTAAGTCTTCATTTCCACCTCACGCTGTATTTTAGATACAAAATCAGTAAGGCTTGTGGTTATAGTAAAGCTGAGAAGTGAGTGTCTCTTTAGATCATATAAAAAGCTTCACAACAGTATAAAGAATTTATAATGAGATAAAATGATAAATATTCTTTATATTCATCATGATGATTTAACTACCAAGAATAACATCAACGATAATAGTTTGATATAATGTTGTTTGAACCATTGGGGCAGCTGTGGCCATGTGGTTAAGGTTGACATTCTCCGACCACTAGCCCTCCGCCACTGGGTCGGGGGTTTGAGACCTACGTGGGGCAGTCGCCAGGAACTCGCCGTAGGTCGGTGTTTTTTCTCCGGGAACTCCGGCTTTCCACCACCACCAAATCCTGACACGTCTTAAAATGACCATAGCTGTTAATAGGACGTAAAACACAACCAATTGAACCATTCACGAAGTAAAAGTACTTATTTGATATCAGACCACTAGAGGGGATTTTACACAATGCAAATATATTAGATATATGAACTAATTTGGAGTGGAAAAGTGTCTACAAAACCCCCCTACAATTTAGATATTTTTCATACGAGGCCCAACCCTGTTTTCGTTACACCTCTAATTGTTGACCAGTTAATAGGCAGTACGCCGTTAGCATTAGCGCCGTCCGTACACCCAGTGTTATACCACCAGCCAGCCTGCTCAGATGTCGCACAGCCTGTATGACCCCGGTCATACGTACTAAATGGCTGGTTGAGTGAGTCCTTCGTGCTGTCAGCAGGCGACATTCCCCAATCGAGGTATACAGGCGTATAACTAATCGAAAAGGAGTTAGCTTCCGTATCTACCTTGAAGTCCGGATACATGTCAAAACGCCAGGAGTTTGTTTCGTCATATAAACGAACGCCTAAGTAATAGGATTTCTGTTCAGTGATAAGATGTATGTACTTGTTTCCTAGCCAAAAATCTCCATCTATATTTCCAAAACCATCCATGTAGGATTGCCAGTCCCTTTCGAAGCTGATATTTCCATAGCGACGATACTGGATGTATGTGACACTGTTGTCAAAGTTACACAGAACCTGGAATGCTGCTGGCGAGTTCAAAGGCTGTATAAAGGTTATAACTGCTGTACCAGTAAGTCCATCGGCTACTCCTTCCGAACAGTCTGCAAAACAGGGTACAATATGTGTATACATATTTCAATGATTTTTTCAATAATCTATATATATCGTGCACCAAAGACACCTGCTTGCACAACAGATGAACTCCTTTGCATAAATAACAGTCTCTAAAGCAACATATTTATAACATTACCAGTTTGAACCAGATATGCTTCGAGAAACTCACTCACGTTTATTTGCGCAACAAAACATCAATATAAGAAAACATATCAAAACATAAAAAATCAGCAACTCTCCAGTCGCCGCACTCAAAAAACCATAAACTATGACGTCACATAATAGTTCGCTATAGCGACGTCCGCCATATACGTACCCGCCATAGCGATATCACAGCAATAGAAATTCATTAATTATAGTCTTAAGGCAAAGAGTACTATTTGTTTAGGATTTAGAACTACTTTTAACACTATTATTTACACAAAAAAACACCAAAAAAAACCTCTCCCTGGATAGGGCGAACTCGGGACCATATATATATATATATTACCTGATCATATAAATCTTACTTACATATGTAAATTTATCTATGGATATTAACTGAATATGTACACCTTATCTGCCACGTTGTAATTATGTATGCTACCTGATGATAACTATATATATATCTATGTATACATAAAACAAAACACTAAGACTAGTATAATCGGTTACATGTGGCGCTTAACATGTGATACGGGAAGAAGACTTAGAAACTATTTATCGCTATATCTATGTATATTACCTGTCACTATATATCTATGTCTATTACCTTGATATATCTATGTGTTAATATCTCTTACCTTTGTAGCAAGTCTGACAGTACGTGCCGTTACAGCCTATTGGACATATACAAGTAGCACCATTCCATGTTCCCGAGTTCTGACAAGGATTCACCTGAAAGTAGGCCCGAATTTGAAACATTAAATAAGCATTTTTATATTAGATTTACAATTCATACCGATTAAGCATGCAAGTAAAAGAAAGTCATGTAACGCAAGAGTGAGGAATTCATTTGAAAATTGACAACTTATAATTGAATATAATTGACTGCTTAAAACGCACTTTCTTTGTCTAAAAGTGAGTTTAAAAAAGTTTCAAATTAACTCACGTATATGTAAATATGTCAACTGATTATCATATCATACACGAATAACACCCCTCAAATAATGCTGGGGATCTGATACATACACATAATCTAATCTATCATTAACTTAATTATTAAGAAATCAATTATTTAGAACGTGTTTTGATGTTGTTTGTGTAAGAAGTCTAGGGATGGATCAGTATAGCACCCATAGCTTCAATGTCACGGTCTTCTATCAATGAAATAAGGGATTCCGAACAAGTATTTGTATATTGTTATGATCCTAAGGCAATATCTAATAACGGTTCGGTAAAATGAAGTAGCTATTAGCTGTGGTGTGTGTAAAAACATTTCGGTATAATGAAGTAGCTATTAGCTGTGGTGGGTGTAATAACAGTTCGGTAAAATGATGTAGCTATTAGCTGTGGTGTGTATAATAACGGTTCGGTATAATGAAGTAGGGTGTGTATAATAACGGTTCGGAATAATGAACTAGCTATTAGCTGTGGTGTGTTTAATAACGGTTCGGTATAATGAACTAGCTATTAGCTGTGGTGTGTGTAAAAACATTTCGGTATAATGAAGTAGCTATTATCTGTGGTGTGTGTAATAACGGTTCGGTATAATGAACTAGCTATTATCTGTGGTGTGTGTAATAGCGGTTCGGTAAAATGAAGTAGCTATTAGCTGTGTTCCGTGTAATAACGGTTCAGTATAATGAACTAGCTATTAGCTGTGGTGCGTGTAATAACGTTTCGGTATAATGAACTAGCTATTATCTGTGGTGTGTGTAATAACGGTTCGGTAAAATGAAGTAGCTATTAGCTGTGGTGTGTGTAATAACAGTTCGGTAAAATGATGTAGCTATTAGCTGTGGTGTGTATAATAGCGTTTCGGTATAATGAACTAGCTATTAGCTGTGGTGTGTGTAATAACGGTTCGGTATAATGAACTACAAATGTAACTATTAGCTGTGATGTGTGTAATAACGGTTCGGTATAATGAAGTAGCTATTAGCTGTGGTGTGTGTAATAACAGTTCGGTATAATGAAGTAGCTATTAGCTGTGGTGTGTGTAATAAC